CCCCCCCCCCCCCCCCCCCCCCGACATATATAGCAATGTATGTATAGCAAGCCATGTTGCCATATAATTGGATTTTATGGCAAGACATGTTGCCATATAATTGGATTTTATTGCAAGTCATGTTGCCATATAATTGGATTTTATGGCAAGTCATGTTGCCATACATTTGGATTTTTTGGCAAGCCATGTTGCCATATAATTGTATCGTGGCTGATCCGCTGCCGCAATCAAAAGCCTGACACCGACCTGGCCCGCCCATCCAGCACACTCGGGCCGGGCTTCGGGCTTCGGGCCCAGGTTAGAAATGACAGCTCTACTGTGAAGACAAAATGGTAAATAGTAAAACTGCGTGTCTTCTCATAATCTACTGACACTTTTACTGATATTTGGTGTTCTTGTCAGTAAAGAGCTAGTCAGTTGTGGACACAGCAGGAAGATGGATGGTGCTTTTCATATTTTAAAAGCAGATACCTGCGTTCAGAAAATGTCTGTGTCTGACTCCAGTATATATTTCCATAGAGATTTCCAGAACTTCAGCCTGAGCCGGGGCGCCCTGGACAACACAGGTCAGACATCCAACCACGGCTCCCTCCAGACTCCTGATGTCCGCCGTTCACTTTGTGACTTTGGGCCTGAGGACGGGGAGAGGAGAAGCTCTGTTTTGGAGCTCTGGGCTCCCCGCTCCACAAGTGTGAGCTCTAACGTTTCTGCTGGAAGTGTCCCAGCGACAAAAGTAGAAGTGAGTCAAGAACTGTCACTGCAGCCTCCAGGCAGCCCTAACCCAGGGGGGGACGTCAGGCGAAAGGTGCATTCTCAGTCAGAGGAAGGAGACAGTGTTGCATCAGGAGGAGACGGAGCAAAGGCTGAAGGAGGTGTAAGGAAGAGGGGAGTACTAGAAGGGGGGTTTCTGGGGAGAAAGAGGGCTCCGCCCGTTCCACATCTCTCATCCCTCCCCTCTGGATCTGAAGGTGGGGGCAGTGACTCATCTGCAAATGCCTCTCCCTCCCCAACCAAACTGGCTGCCTCCACCTCACCACGAAGCAGGAAATTGGCACCTGAGCCTTCCAGTCAGGACAGCAGCCTGTGAGAGCAACTCTTGTTTTGATTCCAGTCGGTGGCTTGATCTTGTAGAGACATCATGTTGGTGCATGCAGGAGCAAATAAAGGAAGACAAAATCAGCTGCACGGACACCAACTCTACCACCATTCATGCGTGCGTCAGGATATACGTTTGCTTTGAATCCATCATGAAGCAGCTACAAGATCCTAGCACTATCAGAATGACATCTCAGTTTGAGCATGAGTTTATTTTTTTTAGCATCTCCAAAGGTTTGATCTGATCTGCTGGGGTGTAACTGGAGCTTCATGGTCTACATTTTCCATTTGCACTTTTAACATTCTGGCAAACTGCTGCTGTCGTTTTCTCCTCCCGTTGTTGTTGTTGCTCATTCAGCATCCACAGGGAACAAGCAGGGGGATGAAGAAATCAAGACTTATCTTGTTTGATAACTGGAATCAACAAAGATACACCTTGTTGCTTTACAACCTTTATATAAATTACACAACTCCTATTGCTTAAATTTAGAAAGAAACTTGCATTCAAACACAAGTTACATAGAAAATTTCAAGATCTTAAACTACCGGGCTCACCACCCAGGTGATAATCTGATAGATCCTTTTGGTCTTATCTCCACATCAGTTCCTTAAAAAACAGCGCTCGTGATTATTTGTTGTGCAGCAGAAACTCATGTTAACTTAAACAAGTTTACCTTAGAATGTCGGCAGCTACTCGAATCCCAGAAGACTTCACTAGAACTAGAAGAACGAGTGTTTTCTGTATGGTTGAAGAAATGACTGACAGCCAGCTGTTAATTAACGTTTGCAGGTCGGGATTGCAATGTGACTGAGTTAGTTGGTTAACACTATATTTGATTGATGCTATGCAGTTGTGGCGTTAGGATGTACAACTTGGACCCTGATTTCCCCGTGACAGTTTGTGATGGAATGGTTATCGTCCTGCTACAACACTTCATGAGTCAGAGATGTTTGTTGGATTGTCAATAATGTTCTCTCATGCTAAATACACTTTAAAGCATCTTTACTCCTCCATAGAGGTGCCAAAATCCATTACTGTAGTGTGTTCCAGCGCAGCAGTTCAAGGCGTTAATAACACTTTTTAAATATGCAGTATATTTGTGAGCAGATAATTTGTGGCATGATGCTTAAAAATCACATTTACACAAATGGTGATTGCAAATGTTTATATTTTCAATACGTTTTTCTTTGCTATGATTGTTAGGCCTCATATTTTTGATAGTATTTTAAATTAACTGATAACTGTTTAGATTTAGCTCCTTACTCCCAGCGGTGCCTGTGCAAGATCACACTAAATATTTACAGTTTTACTTTAATTTTTCAGTCACTTTTCACCTAATAGGGAATGTACATAAACACTACTTCACTTTATCCCCCTTAAAACAGATTTTACTGTGTATTGAAAGTTGTTGGGTGGCTGTTGCAGTGCCTTATTTAGTTGTTGTGTTTTGATTGAAAAGTGTTGTGACCAAAAGATTGTGAAGATGGGGATCACTGTGTGGCCACATAATGGACCTGTCCACTTGGACGTTAGTTGGAACTGTTTCATTATCAGTGACGACGTCTTTTGGACAAAAGATGAAATGTTTCAACAAGTTTTTAAATTTTTATTTTAATGTTTGAATCCGTCCAGAGGACCTGACTTAACGTTGTTAGATTGTTCCACCTGGAGTATTGATCATGCATCAGGATGTTTCATTATAGATTTACAGCAGTTTGAGATTATAAACCAGCGAAACTTTCCTTTCCACATGTCACAATGTAAAAAGAGCAGAGTGCACTATGAAAGAAATGCAAACATCTGGATGTGATGCAGCTTTTCACACTTAAAATGACTAATTTGATATATTTTTTCTCAACTACGCCTAATATCCTGAACTATAGGAAGTTATAGTCTGTGTGTAGCATCTTTCTATAAACAAATATATATTTATTGATCACTGCTTGTACAAATTGTAGTATACTAACAGTTCAGGCAGTAGGCGTAAGACAAAATCCTAATATGGGTGCATTTGTGTGTTTATTAAGACTATAATAATGTAATCATTAAATTGGACCTAAATGCATTTGCTTTTGCACTTTTAAGACAACAATGACATTCAGTGTTTATTTTAGATAAAAATATGTTTATTGTGTATTTTAGCATATACTTTGTCTGCAGCCTGTTTGATCTGTAAACACTTAACTTTGGCTGTGAATACATTTTAATGCAGAAGCTCATGAAGTAAAATGAATCCGTTTATTTAGGCTTCCTAGCATGTCGCCTGTTTACTTTGTGTTGAAATATTATTTACAGGTACATTAAGAATTGATAAACTATAAAAGTTGATTAAATCACTGGGTTCTTTACAACCTGTCACTGAGCTGTACATCTTTTTTTATTTTAACCTGCTGTTTACACATTGCACAATTTTGAAAATATGTGTATTTTATGTTCATGTCTTAATGCATTGTCTGGAAAAACATGTTGTAAAAACAAAAGCTCGTGTATTTTATGATTTTAGATGCTAACATTTTAAAACAGCTGACAGAAATGTCACTAAGATTAATTCAAATCTTTTTTTTTTTTTTTTGTATTAATTCCGATCTTTTAAAAATTTGGACCCAGAAAGAAAAGGGATGAGTCACAGCTGACTTTTCAGAGCATAGGCTTTTTTTTTTTTTTGTGTGTGCGTGTGGATATTTCGCTAAAGTGCAGAACTGTCTTTTTGAACATTACAGATGTGCGTTTTGTTACCCTGCATTTTGATTTCACTAACCTTCCCGCTCAGACGGTCTCCTCTTTGAGACGCCGTCTGTCGTCATTGTGATTTATGAGTTTAATAAAACCCTTTCTGTGTGTGTGTGTGTGTAGCTCTGGGCCATACTGTCCTTTACAATCACTCCACACTCTTTCTTTTCACAGCCTCACCCTCCCTCTGTGGCTGACAATAGCTGTGAATGTGGCTGAGAATGCTTTCGAAGTGCCCTTGTCAGATTGGCGTCCTTGAGCGAGGGCACGCTTGTTACTGCCACTTTGCTAATTTCAAACTTGCCTCGATGTCCCCTTAAGGGACGCAGGAGCAAAACTAAATTACGGCTGCATAGTTTTGATGGAGATACTGGCACTGTGTGTGTGTGTATATGTGGGGTAACTAAGCCACTGTGCAGCTGCTGGCACATCTGCGATGAAAAAACTCACCAGAAACTAGAATTCCTGAAGTAAAATTTCATCTAGAGAAACAGGATTCACTGTGATGAATCTTTTCCGTCTGTTGTAACCATCAGTGGAGTATAACTGTATTACTGCTGTGTGTAAACAGTGCTGTTCTAATCACATGCATGCTCCTCACTCCTCTAGACACCTAAATATGCAGACGATTTAATGTTTGTGCAAACTTCTAAATAATCTTCGGTGTATTTGGATGTGTTTGGATGAACATATCGTGGCACAATATTACCATCATGAAGCAAATATATCATGTATGTCTAGTTAAATTATTATTTTTTTATCTTTTTGTCACTGTAACCCTTTTTTAAGTGTTTGCTTGAACATTATCGTGGTACATTTGTGCTTACATTCTGACTGTTGCACTGAAATCTTCATATTTCAGTTCATAATGGAGTAAACTTTTAAACAGCTGGAATGTGTCTCTTGTTCTTTTTAAATTACTTACTCATCATTTATTTTATCTTTTAAAAAAAGTCAGAAATAAACAGAAAGGGAATTACAGTCTGGTGGGTAACACTTTGTGTTGATAAATTTATGTTTGTGCTTGTAAAAAATATAAGAAAATAATGCTTAAGACTTAAATAATACCACATAAGTACACAAACCTTTATCTATACATAAAAATGTTTTAATACATCATAAATAATATTGTCTGTGTAAAAAAAAGTCAAAACAGCAGACAACAATAAACAAAGTATATTTTACAAGCCACCAATATTACACAAAATACCAACATCTCTAATAAATACTGTTTCTAAACCCAATTTGTGGGATCTAAATAGGATCAGTCCTGTTTTCTGCTAAAAGAAAGTTGTTTCTAATTGGATCAGAGGAGAATAAAAGTCACTGTAAACAGAAAAACAACAATACACTTTACTACAAACTATACAAGAAAGATGTCACCATCAACTACTGGTATTTAAAAAAATTGCAGTCAACTGTTAATCCACATTGACGTGAAACAAAATCTCACACTGGACTTTAAAGTTACAGCACATATAATAATCACAACACATTATATAATAATAATTTATAATTCTCAGTCCTGTATAAAATCAAAAAGTTGGCAACATATTCAGTAACACTATCATGAAGGCCATGTGTCATTTACAATTAGAGCTCCAGTCCTGCTATTAACAAATAAGCTTTCTAGGCACAGTTATTAAGAGAAGAGGAAGTGAGACATTACAGGTTTGGATTGATGAAACTGGGTTTGAGATCCATAAAATTACACCTGCTACAGTCTATCTACTTTTACTATTTTAAATTACTACTGTACATTAAAAAACAGTTGGCAAGCAGAGACAGTGAATCCTTCAACACAATTCAACACAAATACCCACAAACATTCATTTATAATTGATCGGTTTGAGGAAGCACAAAGTATAATTACCAGATAAGCAATGGTGTAAATATCCTGCAGGTTCTTATGTCACATACATCACAATAACAGCTGACTGTATCCATATGAACCATCATATCAACATTAACCCCTGCATCTACTGAAGTCAAGACTGTTGGGCTCTACCAAGAAACACATGTGGACTACAATAAGACGACACCAAGCAGTGTCTGTGTTTTACTGTTCTCAGAAACCTGCTCTGCATGGTGACTGTGGTACCTGACAGGTGGAGAAATCTTGTCCTAAAGTTGAGTGTCAGTGAACAGGGCGTGCTCTGTCTTCATAGAACTTAAGGCCTTGATGGCGTCCACAAACTCATCTTCCTCCACGTACTGAAAAACACAAATGTTTTTCCATTGACAAACACTAAGCATGACATGAGAAAAAAGGCTTTTTCACTGCATACATTTGACTGAAATTCAACACAAATTAACAGTCTGACTAAAGTATATATTTTATATATATATATATATATATATATATATATATATATATATATATATTGTACTGGTGAACAAACACGTTAATGGCATTTTCTGTCTAAATCAGAGACAATATATATCAAGTGGTACGCCAAGGTCCCCTG